TATTCGTGTACTGAGAGGAACGTAATCGTGTACTGAGATGAACGTATTGAGTTAGATCACGTCCACCATGTGATGATGTAATATGCACGACTGGCCACTTCAAGTTCAGCAACACTCGCTCACAACAAAAGTTAGAATTGACTGCCAAAACAAATGACTATCGCAGGTATTTTAAAACGCCATCACTACATATTTTCAAATCCACTATTTTAATTATTATTTCCCTGTTGTATTCCTCACCTACTATAAATAACATCAATAACAATATATTTTAATTAATTGTCCGTACCTATTTTATTTTAGTAATTTATTGGTAGTTATTTTTAATGAAGGAACAGTTACCATTAATCAAACTAAGAACGAAATTATGTATCTTTATTTATTTTATCTGAGAACACACCCACCCACCCGGAGGAAACTTTTAAATCTGGCGTTGAGGAAGTTGTGTGAAGTAAAACGTAATTACTGAAGGAATGATTGTCCAGGTACAGTACTCAACCTCTTGTGGCTGTGAGAGGTCCCTTATGCTTGTTAGCGTTAGTTTAGGTTAATGTTAGGTTAGGTTAGGTTAGCATTAGATTAGGTTAAGTTAGTATTAAGGTAATTATTCGCAAGATAAAATAAATGGGGGTCTAATCTTCACATGATCTAATATATATATTTGTTTTTTACCCCTGAGAGAAATAATATACCAGCTACCTCATTCCTCGTCACCACCCTTTAGAGGTTATTTCAGGGAACGAAGTCTTTATAGGAATGAGTCGAGGTGTTGCTCCAGAAGGGCGGGCGGCAGTGGTAATGGAGTCACTTTTCCCAGGCATACGGCGGATCGTTGGATTATTCTGGCAATGGTGTCGGCGCATTCCTGTGTGTGTGTGTGTGTGTGTGTGTGTGGGTGGGTGTGGGTGGGTGGGTGGTAGAGGCGGGTTGTCGTTGTTGTCAGGTAAGCTTCGGTTTGTCATGGTGTTGTGGTATAAATTATTGTTTGTTGTTTACCTTCAACCACACACACACACACACACACACACACACACTTGTTTGGTAATAGACTCATGAATGTGTGGAGAAGAGGAGGATTACCATGAGTTGTGAGGGACTGTGAGGAGGGAGGGAAGGAGAAATATGTAACAGGCGGTCCTAGAGAGAGAGAGAGAGAGAGAGAGAGAGAGTTAATAATTCTACAAGAGTCGTACCAGTGCCTAGGGAGGGGGGGTGGGGTGAATTATACACACACATACCCTACCAGGACACACACACACACCCTACCAGGACACACACACCCTACCAGGACACACACACCCTACCAGGACACACCAACAATTGGGGTATTATGGGATTGCTATAATCTACTGACCCACTGCATTGAGAGGAACAGCATAGAACGGCTATATATCGTGGGTGACGCTGCAGGTGAAGTGTCTCTTGTAGTGGTGTCTAGGGTTACCTGAAGATTAACCACCCCCTCCCCACTAAATTAGACATGGAAAGGCTCAATGCACCCAGCAGTGTAATGAAGGTGGGGTTTCTTTTAGGCGTAGGGACACTGTGGTCGGCTCCCACCCACCCACCCACCCACCCACCCAAATAGAGTATCAGATGCCCCATTAATTATAGGTGCTGCTAATAGTGTGTTTGTGTCCTATCCCCCCCCCCCTCCTCCCCCAGTCCCACCACCTTTAATAGCTGAAATTTTAAGATGATCCTATTGTAAAATGTTCCAAAGACAAACTCGGGCAACTCCATGCAGGTAGAACAGGTGGTTATATTGATGTACCTTTCACGTTACATTGAGACACCTGGTAAACCGCTACCAATTAACAATAGAAGGTACACAAGTCTTCCGTGGGTGTGGGGGTGTGGGTGGGGGGCATTCCCACACACGATCATTTATTAACCAGGTAGCTGTCTCGTCCAGGTATAAAGCATGAGACACACACACACACACACACACACACACACACACACACACACACACACCACACACACACACACACATTGGTACAAGGAGCATCATATACAGAATAATATTAAAGAATCAGACAGACAGACAGAAGGACGGACGGGAAAATGACTCGCCTGTAGCCTGACACGTTTCCTGGAGCTGACAGTTTGACCTTTGACCTATAACACTCCCAGAAACTTTCCTACCTGACCTCTGCGCCATCATGCCCTGAATTATTGATGTCACGAGCTTAAAGGGTCAATTCTGGGGATAACAGCTGTCATGGTAGGGTTGTGTGTGTGTGTGTGTGTGTGTGTGTGTGTGTGTGTGTGTGTGTGTGTGTGTCATCTTAATATTCAACTCTCCCGAATTTTATTCACCACACTATACCTCTCCACCCCCACGACACACCACCACACCCCACCACACACCCCACACCCCCCACCCCACACCCCCCACCCCACCCCACACCCCCACCCCCACCCCACACCCCCACCCCACACCCCACCCCACACCCCACACACCCCACACCCCACCACCCCACACCCCACCCCACACCCCACCACACCCCCACCCCACACCCCACCCCACACCCCCCCCCCCCCACCCCCACCCCACCCCACCCCCACCCCCACCCCACCCCACCCCACACCCCCACACCCCACACCCCCCACCCCACACCCCACCCCACACCCCCACCCCACACCCCACACCCCACACCCCCACTACACCCCACCACACAGTATATAGGAGGGATGACACACCATGTAAAGCAAAGGATTGAACACGAAGCTTAAAGTGTCTGGATCCCATGACAGACAACAGTCACAGGAACTAACAGACGCTACAGCCAACAGCCAACACGCTACAGCCACAGACACAGGAACTAACAGACCCTCACAGCCAACAGTCACAGGAACTAACAGACCCTCACAGCCAACAGACACAGGAACTAACAGGAACTAACAGACGCTACAGCCAACAGACACAGGAACTAACAGACGCTACAGCCAACAGACACAGGAACTAACAGACCCTCACAGCCAACAGACACAGGAACTAACAGACGCTACAGCCAACAGACACAGGAACTAACAGACCCTCACAGCCAACAGACACAGGAACTAACAGACCCTCACAGCCAACAGACCAGTGTAAGAGTACTAGTAATGAATGTATTGGTAGTACTTATTGTAGTGGTTTGTTGATATGGTAGATGGAAGTAGTAGTTGTAGTACTAATGGTGTTACAATGTGTACTAAGGTGTTATTGTGTTGCATGGTGTTACAATGTGTACTATGGTGTTATTGTGTTGCATGGTGTTACAATGTGTACTAAGGTGTTATTGTGTTGCATGGTGTTACAATGTGTACTATGGTGTTATTGTGTTGCATGGTGTTACAATGTGTACTATGGTGTTATTGTGTTGCATGGTGTTACAATGTGTACTAAGGTGTTATTGTGTTGCATGGTGTTACAATGTGTACTATGGTGTTGTTGTGTTGCATGGTGTTACAATGTGTACTATGGTGTTATTGTGTTGCATGGTGTTACAATGTGTACTATGGTGTTATTGTGTTGCATGGTGTTACAATGTGTACTAAGGTGTTATTGTGTTGCATGGTGTTACAATGTGTACTAAGGTGTTGTTGTGTTGCATGGTGTTACAATGTGTACTATGGTGTTATTGTGTTGCATGGTGTTACAATGTGTACTATGGTGTTATTGTGTTGCATGGTGTTACAATGTGTACTTATGGTGTTATTGTGTTGCATGGTGTTACAATGTGTACTATGGTGTTATTGTGTTGCATGGTGTTACAATGTGTACTATGGTGTTGTTGTGTTGCATGGTGTTACAATGTGTACTATGGTGTTGTTGTGTTGCATGGTGTTACAATGTGTACTATGGTGTTATTGTGTTGCATGGTGTTACAATGTGTACTATGGTGTTGTTGTGTTGCATGGTGTTACAATGTGTACTATGGTGTTGTTGTGTTGCATGGTGTTACAATGTGTACTATGGTGTTATTGTGTTGCATGGTGTTACAATGTGTACTATGGTGTTGTTGTGTTGCATGGTGTTACAATGTGTACTATGGTGTTGTTGTGTTGCATGGTGTTACAATGTGTACTAAGGTGTTGTGTGTTGCATGGTGTTACAATGTGTACTATGGGGTATTGTGTTGCATGGTGTTACAATGTGTACTAAGGTGTTATTGTGTTGCATGGTGTTACAATGTGTGCATGGTGTTATTATGTTGCATGGTGTTACAATGTGTACTATGGTGTTGTTGTGTTGCATGGTGTTACAATGTGTACTATGGTGTTATTGTGTTGCATGGTGTTACAATGTGTACTATGGTGTTGTTGTGTTGCATGGTGTTACAATGTGTACATTGTGTTGCATGGTGTTACAATGTGTACTAAGGTGTTGTTGTGTTGCATGGTGTTACAATGTGTACTATGGTGTTGTTGTGTTGCATGGTGTTACAATGTGTACTATGGTGTTGTGTTGCATGGTGTTACAATGTGTACTAGGTGTTGTTGTGTTGCATGGTGTTACAATGTGTACTAAGGTGTTGTTGTGTTGCATGGTGTTACAATGTGTACTATGGTGTTATTGTGTTGCATGGTGTTACAATGTGTACTATGGTGTTGTTGTGTTGCATGGTGTTACAATGTGTACTATGGTGTTGTTGTGTTGCATGGTGTTACAATGTGTACTAAGGTGTTGTTGTGTTGCATGGTGTTACAATGTGTACTATGGTGTTATTGTGTTGCATGGTGTTACAATGTGTACTATGGTGTTGTTGTGTTGCATGGTGTTACAATGTGTACTATGGTGTTGTTGTGTTGCTTGGTGTTACAATGTGTACTATGGTGTTATTGTGTTGCATGGTGTTACAATGTGTACTATGGTGTTGTTGTGTTGCATGGTGTTGTTGCAAGGTATTTTATTATGTATTAAGGTGTTGTTGCTGGTTGTTGCATCATTTTAAGTGTTGTGTTGATCGAGGGTGTTGCATGATATATTGAAGTGTGTGTTTGTGTTGCAGGGGAGGATGCGGTGTACAGAAGCACGGTGGTGGCGCTGGAGGGAGACGCCCCGAGACCTCCTGGTGGTGTGGCCTTCATACTTAAGGTACTGTATCTCTCTCTCTCGTCCTTGTGTTTTAACTATATAACTGCTTGCTTGTGTGTGTCTGAGAGAGAGAATCACATGGTATTCCCCTCAGAGAGTGTGTTGGATGGGTTACTGTACCTGACTCCATGGTATGCCAATCACTTAATGGTTGCCCCTCGTGTAACGAGGATGGCCGGCCCTAGGGCCACCTAGGCGTGAATTTGTTGAAGGTGTAGAAGCTGTCGCCAACACAACAACCACACCCTAAGTTAACGAGTTGCATGACCCAGTGTCAAGGAATAGTCCGAAAAGACCGGACAACTCGTCAACTGCACTGTGTGTGTGTGTGTGTGTGTGTGCGTGCGTGCGTGCGTGCATGCGTGCGTGCGTGCGTGTGTGTATGTATGTATGTATGTATGTATGTGTGTGTGTGTGTGTGTGTGTGTGTGTGCGCGTGTGTGTGTGCGTGTGCGTGCGTGTGTGCGTGTGCCCTCAGGCGCCACATGCTGTACGTGGTTGCATGCTGTATGTGTCCCAGAAGTTTCCCTGCGGCTAAACTTAATAATTCACGAAAATTAAATTCTTTACATTATTCAACACCGTCGGTAAGTAATACACTATGACCCCATTACAACTAACTTACATTTCATTAATTATTATTGACATTTAATCAGCCTAAATACCCGTCCTTCTTGATCTAACTGACCCTTGTGTACCGCATGTGAGGATGTTTTCCCTCATAGCCTTAAACAGAGAACACATCTGTACTATTTATCTTTCATACAAAGTTACATATAAAACACATACTGTATTGTGTAACTACATATGTATGGTTACAGTTGGCTACAGAAGTACAGTATGGTGTGCGTGTGTTGGTGTTCGTGAGTGGAGGCGACGTGGCAAGAAGGATTTATACGGATTCGGGTGAAATCACACAGATTCAAGGGCGTTGAAAGGGATTCATGCGGAATCACCAGGATTAGGAATTGAAATGGATTCGTAGGGATTCATTGAGAGGAATTAAGGATCATGTGGATTCTTATGATTGACGAGGACTCCCACGGATTCATAAAAACTGATATGGATTATTTTCAGGTGAGGGGATTCGTAGTGGGGGTTTCTTTTCGGGTTGGTGAGGATGCCAGGGGGAAGTTGATGAAGACGGATGGGTTTCTTGGCCACATGGGTACAGATGAGTCTCCTGGGTACCATCAGGAGGCGGATATGAGTCTTACCTCCCTGACTTATTTCCCTCCGAGAGAAACCAAGACGAGCATTGCTAAAAATCTTATGTTGTTGCCAGAAGTATACCTGTACCAGTCCAGAAGTATACCTGTACCAGTCCAGAAGTATACCTGTACCAGTCCAGAAGTATACCTGTACCAGTCCAGAAGTATACCTGTACCAGTCCAGAAGTATACCTGTACCAGTCCAGAAGTATACCTGTACCAGCCCAGAAGTATACCTGTACCAGCCCAGAAGTATACCTGTACTAGCCCAGAAGTATACCTGTACCAGCCCAGAAGTATACCTGTACCAGCCCAGAAGTATACCTGTACTAGCCCAGAAGTATACCTGTACCAGCCCAGAAGTATACCTGTACCAGCCCAGAAGTATACCTGTACTGGGTTTTATTGTTCTTTATTAGAATTATTAGATATGGATATACTTTAGGTGTTATATTCTATACTTAAAGGTAATTACAGGTAGTTAAGGTATATCCTGACATGTTACCTTAGGAGGAATATTTACCGAAGGAACTGTGGAGAATGTGATGCCTTGGCGTGAGGCAAACAATGCACAGGTTACCTAGCAGGAGTTTCTCTCAGCGCTGTTTGATTAGCCAATGAAATCACAGACCGTGCAATACGCCAGGCTAATTTGCATATACGCTCTTTTAACCAGGGACTTGAAAGGGTGGATTATGTGGTTGGGTGAGTGATGTACAGGTAGTTAGTTGGGTGCCTTGAGTGTCTCTCTCTCTCACACACACACACAGCCCTGCAAACTTTTTCAATAAACCGTTTATTATTATTATTATTATTATTATTATTATTATTATTATTATTATTATTATTATTATTATTATTATTATTACACGCACGCACGCACGCACGCACGCACACCGCATTTCCTTTTGCTCCCAAATTTGCATTTAATTTTCTTGCCACAGTCCAATTGAAATACATTACCAGGTGACAACAGGTATCTCCCCTGGGTCTCTTGTCTTCCCTCTCCTCATGTGAGAGAGAGAGAGATAGTGAGAGGGAGATAGATAGTGAGAGAGAGAGAGAGAGATAGAGTGGGATAGTTAGCAGGAGAGATAGGGAGATACAGAGATGATCTCTCTTTCTCTAAATTAGTCATTCAGCACTCTCTCTCTCTCCATTAGTTATTCAGTACACCACTGCTCCACCACACCCCCTCACAGTACAGAAGCGTTTTCCTGTTCTTTAACATCTTTCCCCCTCCCTTCACACCCCCTCCCCACAACCCTCTCCTCCTCACAACCCTTCCCTCCCCACAACCCTCCCCTCACCTCCTCCCTTCCCCTCACCCACACACTCATGGTACACTGACTATCGTGTACCATTTTCCGCTGTTTCTCTTGTGGGGTTCACCTTTATTTTAGAAGTGTGTGTGTGTGTGTGTGTGTGTGTGTGTGTGTGTGTGTGTGTGTGTGTGATTAAACTAGATATGATGAAACCGGGTTTAAATCTAATAAACCGGATAGATAGAAACCAGACACCCGAGTTAAACCAAACCAATTCCTGTAACACTTTTAGTTATATGGTGGAGAGATGCAATGTGAGTGAAAATTGCTGACTCATGATGACTCAGTGGAATAGTGAGGGGTTCCTCTAATTCGTAGTGAGTTAGTTGAGAGAGGGAGACGATACATGTTAATGGTGAGGCAATGATATATGTTTACATTTTTTTTGGGGTGGGGGGGTCTAAGATTTGATTGGGTCACCTGAAGATTAGGCCGCCCTAGCTTATTTCACCTGATAATTAGATACTTAGAAATAAGAAATTACTTAAGTGTTTTTGTTTTCAGTCACTCGTTCAAGGTGTCTGAGGGTTGGCGACCATAGCCCTCCAATCTAACAATGTTCAGGTTATCTTGCCCATATATTTTCCTATAACTAGTATTTAATTCCATTCTTTCATCCCTTTCTCTACCTTTCCCTTACCCACCTTTTACCCTTTAGTTTACCCATTAATATCACTCCCTTTATTTTTGTCACTGGAGGTGGGTAAAGCCCCCCACCTTCACCCCCTCCCCCTTTGTGCCGTGGTAGAGTCGCAAGAAGTCGTAAGTCTGGTTGGTAGCGAAAGAAAATCCTTGGTGTCGAAGTGGTGTCAGGTCGTGTTGTGATATACTGTGTGTGTTTGTGTGCTGGGTAAGTTAGGTTATGAGAGCCGATGTTGTTGGTCTCTCTCTCTCTCTCTCTCTCTCTCTCTCTCTCTCTGTATATATGTGACTTCCTTCATATATATAAGTGTATGTGAAAGAGGGAGAGAAAAAATAATAAGAGAAAAGGAGAGAATGAGAGATTAAGAAAGAAAAAAAGAGAGAATGAGTGAAAGAAAGTAAGAAAAAGTAAGAGGAGGAGGAAGGAGAGGGTTAAAGCCCCAGGGATAAATAAACTGCAGGTGGTGGTGGAGGAGGAGGAGGAGGGCAGTTACTCACCTAGCCTGTCTCACCTTCTCCTCCTCCTCTTATATCTTAACTTTCCTAATTCTCTGAATTCATCTTTAGGTCTCCACATTATTGGTTATTTTTCCATTTTTTATAATTAATATTGTTGTATAATGTTTAGGTAATGTATTATGATTTGAGTGTTTGTGTTTTTGTGCATGTCTGTGTGTGTTTGTTGATCTAAGTTGTTTGTTTACTCTGACAGCTTTAAATATCAAAATCAACTTCCTGGTTGATGATAACCAGATTGTGTGACCTCTGGTGGCACGACCATCACCCAACACTATAAACACCAGAAACATAATCACATCAGGGATTACCAACTGTACTATTTATAGCCCATATTATCGTTATGGTATTAAGCCTTCTATTCATTAACAATAAATAATATCACGCCTCATATACTACAATATATTGAGAGTAACATGACACACATTTGAGTTCCAGTGAATATGTAAATCACGTTGCATTATCAGGACTTTGGGTCAGTAATGATGCTACTGTGTTATGTGGATTATGTCATGTGTGGGGCATTTCAAGTCGAATTTTTCCATAAGTACAAAGTGTGTGTATTTACTTCTATTGGTTCTTTATTTTATTGTTTAATTTTATTTTTCATTTGCATATTAAGTACATTTGACTAATTTATTATTATTGTTATGTATTATTATTGCACATAATGGAAGCCCCTCGAAATTGAGGATGGCCGGCCCTAGGGCCACCTAGGCGTGAATTTGTTGAAGGTGTAGAAGCTGTCGCCAACACAACAACCACACCCTAAGTTAACGAGTTGCATGACCCAGTGTCAAGGAATAGTCCGAGAAGACCGGACAACTCACCAACTGCACTGGCGAACCATTACCCCGGAACACGATCCGCAAATTGATTAACATCCAGGTTCCCAATTACTGCTGGGTAGACAGAGGCAAAACGACGTAAAGAAACTTGCCAATAGTTTCACCCTGCCTGGGGATCGAACCCGGTTCCGCTCGCTAGCAAGGCGAGCATGCTGACCATTGCACATACTGCATGTACACACACACACACACACACACACACACACACACACACACACACACACACACACACAAGACCCTTAACATATATTTAGCGTCGTAACATAAATTTTAGCTTATGGCCTGACCATAAGGACCGAGGAATCAATACTGTGAAGTAGTGGAGAGATTAGAGAAGAGAAAGTGAGGGGAAAGAAATACTGTATAGAGAAAAGAAAGAGAGAGAGAGAGAGAGAGAGAGAGAGAGATCCCCCATGTGGGCAGGTACTGTCTAGCTTAAAAGTTATTGTAATTACTTTAGCAACTTACTCCTGGTATTTCTTTGTTCACTTTCTTTCTCACACACACGTTCTCTCTCTCTCTGTCTCTCTCTCACACACACACACACTCACGCCTCTGCCTCATTATGCGTGTATATCTCTCTTGATGTGGAATTCTGTCTCTTCTCTGTCTCGGTAGCTTGGTCACACACACACACACACACACACACACACACACACACACACACACACACACACACACACACACACACACACACACACACACACACACACACACACACACACACACACACACACACACACACACTCTCTCTCTCTCTCTCTCTCTCTCTCTCTCTCTCTCTCCAAAAAAGAGTGAGAAAGGAGAGGGAGAGTATTCGTGCCACAAGAAAATAAGATGGTACAGCACTGGGTACATTTTCATGTTTAGGGCCATACAAGATGCATTTCATTACACAAATACGATGCAGATGCGTTGAGCCACACACCCCTGAGGGACTGGCAGGGTCGTGTGGGGTAAGGGAACACGTTTTGGGCCGGGTTTGAGTGGTAAATATTGAACCTGGTCTATGTATGTGTTTTATATGCTATTACATACATCATACGTACATATACACATTCATATACTTGGGTTGTGTAATGAACTATTTTTTTATGTATACAATGATCTTCAAGTGAATAATTAAACCTTATACAATAAAATGCCATCGTTTATACCCGAGTTTTGTATTGACTTCTTTTTCATGTGTGGTACGACTGTGTAAATTTCAGCTTCAGGTCTGTCTGCTTTAAGTCAGCGTGGATGACCTGGGGACATGCTGGGAGAAGGCACGTTTTATCTCAACACCCAGCTTAAGTCAGATTATATTAGGGTAGGTTAGGTGAGGTTATGTTATAATACAGTAAGTTAGTTTAGGTTATGACACTTTAGGTAGATTAGATTAACGTTAGATTAAGTTAGGTTATATTATAAGTTAGGTATAAAGTAAAGTTAGTTGTATAATCACATGAAATAAAATAGGGTGCGCCTAATCTTCAGGTAGTCCTCCAGGCCGCCACCAACGCATGAGAAGACCGGTTGAATGCAATCATTATATCACACTGAGTCTGTCACTATGTAGATTGGCACTAAGACTCAGACCTTGGCACTCACCTGACCTTAGCACCCTCTGACCTGCTGTGTTTTATTAAGGTCAAAGAGGTCAAGGTTAAGTATTTTTTTTTATACATTTTACTTGTGGTTTTGTTATATCTGATCTGACTTTACAACAGTGCATCACTTTTGTAGTTCCTTTCAGTAATGATGTTTCAGTGCTGTTGTAATACCCTCTCAGTTATCACCTCTTCCTCCTCCTGTTCTTCTTCCTCCTCCTCCTCCATCAATAACTTACATCATTATACCACCTCCTCCTCCTTCTCCTCTGCCAGTAAGACATTGTATTGCCACTATCTCCTCCTCTTCCCACAGAACAAGGTAAGCAGATGTCTGAGCCGGAAGACCCTCCACCGCCGGTTGCCGTGCCTCACCTGGCTCCGGAGCTACAACAGCGAGTGCTTCTTTGGGGACCTGGTGGCCGGGTTTACTGTGGGCCTCATGATTATCCCACAGTCACTGGCGTACGGTATCATAGCTGGCCTCTCTCCTAATGTGAGTATGATGATAGTTCTCTCTCTCTCTCAATTCTTCCTCACTCACACACGAAAACTTTTCTCAATTTTTCCTCACACTCACTCACACAAATAGCTCCCTCTCATACATGTAAATGATTCTCTGTTACTCACTCCCTCACTCACTCTTCCACAGTATGGGTTGTACTCGGCGTTCATCCCCTGCTTCGTATACTTCGTGTTGGGCTCCACCATGGAGATGAACATGGGGCCGACCGCCATTATGTCCCTCATGACCTACCAGTACAGTAGTCAGGGCGGTGCCGACTACGCCGTCCTCCTTGCCTTCATCTCCGGCATCATAGAGCTCTTGGGCGGCATCGTCAACTTGGGTGAGTTCTTTTCTAGCGTCTGGATACTCTTGGTAAAAAAATCGGTTTCTTTTAGTAAATTCGGATTCTTCAACAAAATTCAGTTTCTTTTAGTAAATTTCCTGGTTTCTTTCGATAAAAAATTCCAAATCTTTCAGTAAAAATTCCAGATTCTAAACTGTTTGGCTTAAATAAGTAAAAAGACCCCAAATATTGCACCAAAATCATACTGAGACTCAACTAGATACAAGGTAAGACAGAACATCAGGTAGAGAAGAGTTCCTTAACAACCTTACGCCTTACCTATCTGGTGCTAAGTGGCTTTAGGAGTATCTATATAATTTTTAGGCTATATTTTGGGTGTTAATATTGGCTTTCTGTTTACATGAAGAGAGATATATTACTTACATTTATTTACATCAGGTCATATATCCTTACGTCTTTATTTACGAGGATTAGCCATTGAGATCTTTAGTGAATCCGGACCCAGAATAGTGCTTAAGGTATTAGTCATCATAGATACTAATTAAGGTGTGTATAGGTATATGTATAAACTTTGTGTGTTCTCCCTTCCAATTAACCTGACACCTACTGTCTTTCTTGTCTTTCCCTTACACTTCTCTCTCACCTTACCTCTCTCAACTGTCTCCCCTCTTACCTCACCTTCCTGCCTTTGTCTGCTCACTCTTACCTTCCCTCTCACACTTCTGTCCTATTTCTACGTCCCCTTCGCTCACTCACACTATCGTCCTCCTCTTTCTCTCACACCTTTCCCTCTCCCCAACCCACTTACACTTTCCTCTTACCCTCTCTCACACCTCTCCTTTCCCCTACTCCATTCTCTCTCCCTACCCCCCCACCCCCTCATACTTCCTTTCTTCCCTCTCTCACCTCTCTCCTCCCTCTCCTTACCCCTCTGCCCCCTCACTCTTCCCTTCTCTCTTTCATACCTCTCTCACGCCGGGTGCCTCTCCTCCAGGCTTTCTCATCAACTTCATCTCCCAGCCGGTCATCAGCGGGTTCACCTCAGCGGCTGCCATCACCATAGCCTCCTCTCAGCTGAAGGCATTGTTGGGGTTGAGTCTCAAGTCCAAGGGCCTCATCAACACGTGGGTGAAGGTCTTCGCCAACATCCATGACTTCCGCTGGCAAGACCTCACCCTCGGCCTAGCCTGCATCATCGCCCTCGTCCTTCTAAAGGTGAGAACTTGAGCATTCATTTTGAGGTCTTCTCTTCTCCTGAAGGTGAGGGTGTTTGTTATTTCTAATGGGTTATATAAAAAAAAAATTTATGGTCTTTTGTGTGTCCAGAATTTTGTAAACTCTTGGAGCAATCTGGCAGAGAGTGTTGTGATGGCACCAATTGTGAGACCAGACTTGACCAACACTGGCACACGTACAAATATATTCAGGAACCAGTACGTACATGCCCAGTATTTGCCAACAGTGTGTAAGAGAGACGTGAATGACTGCCCAAGTGGCTAACGAGCCGATCAGAAGCAAAGAGGATAAAGTTAACGTAAAAGTTATAATAAAAAACACCAAAAGAAAAGGGACATGAACATCAGTTTGAGAAAAATCCTGCAGAAGGGCTTTATATGGCAAGGATACAGTTCTAGCTGAGTAACAGGTATTTATTATGAAATACAGTATAAAAAAAGGTTTTATAATATTTGTGATTTAATTTGCCATTGAACTACCGGTACTTCTGTTCGGTGATTAAAACTTAGGTTTAGGTACTGTAGTAATATTGACCTTAGAGGTACAGTATATATACATTACAGTATACTGTACTGATACCTGGTACTTTGCTGTGTGCACCAAGATTTTGTTCATAAATTGTTCCACGATACAGATACTGTACAACCATTTTCCTACACAGCCACAATGCCACACCACTTTTTCACCAGGAGATACGGACAGTGCGGTGGCCGTGTATAGACCACAACAGCCGAGGTCTGGGCCAGCGGATCTTAAGAAAGACCGTCTTCTACCTTTCTGTAGGTCGCAATGCCATTGTTGTTGTTATTGCTTCTGTCATCGCCTACTGCCTTGATGGGGACGACCAGCCATTCTCAATTACAGGTGTGTTTTTAATAGCTTCACAAACTTTGTTTAGAAACATTAGTATAAGTTGTTATGCAGTACAGTACAACAGAGATAAAGAAGATCCCACATGCTGAATTCTGCCTAATAAAAAGTAAAACTAAAGTGAAAAACAGAATTACAGAGAAATTTGAATACTGTGGACATGTGATTCAGAGTAAATATATTGTGGTTTTTGAAGTTGGTAATCATTGTAGTTCAGTATTAACATGACCCAAGAAGGAAACTATTAATGAAAGACAAGGTTACTATTTCTTCCCCTGATAGCGAGTCCAGAGAGTACAGTACTGACCACTGGGGCTATTTAATCTACCACTTAGGGAATACAGCACTGTTTCACAATGCTGCACTGTCCAGTATTGTTGATCAACTCCTGTGATAACCATAAGACAGTACTGGAGTGTAATGCTCAGTTATCTCAAATTCTTTTGTATTTTGATATGATTAACATTGTGTATTACATTATTTGCCCTGATATGTAGTGTACAGGTATTACTGTGCCAACTAGGGATGTCTCCTGTTCTTTAGGGTCACTAATTTGTGCCCAGAGCACTCGGTTAACCCAGCTGTGAAGGATAACTTTACTTTATAGTTGAGGAAAGTGTTTGTGTGCAGTACTGACCACACTACCTTGTTGTGTACCCAAAATGGCTAAGTCTTCAATGTGTTGTACTGTATCCACTTTCTCTGTACCAGCATTTTAGTTGATCTATATGATGATTATCACTATGATTCATATTATACTGTACACTTGTTTAGTGGGAAGATTTAATTTCTTACTTAAAAATAATACTGTTTATTTATATGGTCATGGTAAACGTTTATAATGATTTGTTCCTGTTTTGATTTGGTAGTTATCAGATACTGTGTTTGGGAAATAGGATTAAATCTACAATAAGAAACTTGCAACAGTGCGTAACAGAGACATGACTGATCGCTTAAGTGGCTAACAAGCCGACAAGTGGTGAAGAGGATAAAGTAAAGTAAGAAAAAGGCTCTTTATTTAATAATATTGTACTGTATTAATTATCGTTTTTTACTGAAAATAATTTAGACCATTTCATTGGTTGGTACTGTATATGTGAATCACAAGTTAGGGAAAACTACAGGATGTTTTATTTTTTGAAACAGATACTGTACTGTACTTGAATTAATATTTTATAGTGTTTATTATGTTCACAAATATTTAGAAAATATTTACTTATTAAGCAGAAGTTACTGGACTGCGCTGTTGTACTGAAATCTTTGATTACAAATTATTATGCAGAATAATTGATTGATTGATTTTATTGGGAATTCATCACAAATACAATAAAATACACCATGAATACAAACAACAATTACAAATACTGTACAGTAAATGCTTATCATACAGTGTGTACATATAATATTACTGTACTGCAAAGATAACACAAAAAGTCCAACTGGTTACAAGATCCTAGTTGTGATGTTGCTCTTACTATTATTGTGAGCCTCAGTCAGTCATTGTGTTAAGAGATGTGTGGCAGATAATTATTCCTTAATAAAGATACCATCTGGTTTAACATTAATTGAATGATCACTGTTATATTACTAAGTGTTATGAGATAGTGAGAACCTCAGAGAATATGTACAAAACTCATGGTTGTATTTCTCTGCACCTGCCAGGTTTTGTGAACCCTGGGATCCCTTATGCCTCTGTGCCGCCCTTCTCCACGGAGATCAACAACCAAACTGTAACCTTCCCAGAGATGATGAGTGATGTGGGCATTGGTGTGGCGATGATCCCATTCATTGCAGTTCTTGACCACATTGCCATTGTCAGTGCCTTTGCTAAGGGCAGGACCTTTGATGCCACACAAGAGATCATCACTCTTGGTGTCTCAAATATAATTGGATCATTCTTTGGGTAAGAGGGGAATATGAAGAGGGAATTTTCATTTTACCTCAAGGTGAGGGAGTAAACTTCATATCATAGAGCATTGGTGGTCTTTTAGTGTACAGTACTGTAAAGAATTGTAGGTACAGTATCATGTTTATGTAATACAGTACTGTACAGTATATGGACTTATACTGTATATAAGTATCCATTATGACTTTTACTGTATATAAGTATCCATTATGACTTTTACTGTATATAAGTATCCATTATGACTTTTACTGTATATAAGTATCCATTATGACTTTTACTGTATATAAGTATCCATTATGACTTTTACTGTATATAAGTATCCATTATGACTTTTATTCAGGTACAGTATTCACATTATTACCTTTTATTTTCTAGTTTTGTTTAATTAAGTTGAAACAGTTATGGTACTGTGACTTATACATTAGACTCTGATCTCTATGATCCTTAAAAGGTAAAATGCTGAATAAATATCCCTGGCGAGGCTTCTGTCACTAAACCCTAAGTCAGTAGAATGGTTGACTTTTGTAATGTACAGAATTTAACATTAGTGAGATGGAAATGGGTTATTTAGAGTCATATCCATTAATATCCTTCTTTGGACATAGTTTTGATCAGATCACATTATTAATTAAAAGGTCACAAGAGGACAGCCACTTATAGCAAGAAGTTATAATTAATGAGTTAATATTAATGAACATGGCCATACTTTTAATTTAGCAATCTGTATATAATAAATACTGTACTGTACTGAAAATGTTAAGAAAAACTTTAAACTGAAACTTGTTTCTTGTTGTAATCTCCTAAGTTCATAACACCCACAGGTCGATGCCCACAACAGGATGTTTGTCACGGTCTGCTGTCAACCTGACCAGTGGAGTGAGGACGCCTGCTGGTGGTCTTGTCACAGGTGTCATGGTACTCTTGTCCCTGGCTTTTCTCACACCAGGTTTTACGTAAGTTAATAGTGATGTAATGATAAATAGACAGAGGAAGGTTGTATACCATTGGTCGGGGTCCATTATCCAGCCAGAGTGGAAGACTGGGTTCTGTCCCTGTACACTAATACTCGTGCAGTTGGGATCAAAAGTTCTCTCCTTCCCAAACTGAAGCAGCCTAGAATACTGTTAAATCAATGCTAAAACAAAAAGATTAATTACAGTAATATATACTGTACTGTACAATCAGTAAGTATGAAAGTACCATTTGTACTGAACATAGCAGAGTGGACAGTGAATGCTAGTGTGTAGAGGGTGTAGCCATGTACAGTACCTGTGTACTGTGTAGTGTTTTACAATCCCTCCTTCCTGGAGGGAGAGGAGATTGATAGTTAGCAACACCTGCCACAGGAGATGGTACAGGACAAAGGCAGGCCATTGTGTATCATCATATCACCATTTGGCAAGCTCTAGACAACAGCAACTGCTGGTGAGAACAGTATACCTTTATACAGTACAGTAGTATGTACATTATTTTGTTTATTTACAATATATTGTCCATGTACACTGTGGTGTTTGCATAAATAGATACAGCTCTGTGTCTGTTCATGTGATATATGTAAATTTGACTTGTAAAACTTTCCCCAGTACCATACCTGAAAAAATCTGGGGATGTGCGATTTTTTTTCCGGGATGAGAAAATTCGTCTCCATGTCCGGAAATCTCACATTCCCAGAACCACTCTGCACCAATTATTCCAGCTAATGGGGATATCACTGTATTTATTAAAATTATAGATCAAACTATGGGACTACAAGAGTCCTATCTTCATTAAGTTATTCACTGTCTCCCTATGGATCAAGATGTTACAGACTTTGAATTGATGTTGTCCTACCTGAGATGCTTGTCCATTTAGTTGATCCAACAGAGGCAACTGGTCTTTCACCAATCATGTGGGAGGGAGGAATATTGCTAATCAATTCTTTCATCCCAGCTTCTAATACGGAGGGTTTACTGGGGTTTTCTGTCATTAGTTTTAATGGGTAATTGACGAGTTACTGTAGTTCAGGGCTCAACCATAAAGTGAGATTTCAAGATCAGTGCTTCAGTTTTTATCATTTATACAGAAAAAATTTATATTGTATTACCGCTTTAACCCAATTTGACAATTTATGAGCAGCATTACTGAAAATTTCATTTATTTTGGAATGTGAATTGATATAAACGAATTTTAATTTATGATTATTAAATGAGGAAGTCGTTCTTGACATTGTCTCACTGAACATATGTAAAAGGTGAGCATCAATATTGTTTTGAGGCTTTGTGCAATCCTATGGGTAGGAACAGGTTTAATAGTAATTTAGTAAAAAATCAAACACTCGTATCATTATAAAAAACCTTTCAGTTTTAAACCCAACGTCTGTGTGTCTGCGTGTTTGTGGCCGAGATATTCTTACTTTGTGTTGAAGTAGTAGTACTGCACATCTTATTGAAAAACTTTCTAAAACTGGGTGTATTGTATACTAATTTTAGAATTTCAATTTTACACTTTGATGTTTAAGACAAACCTTTACAGTATTTTCATATACAGTATCAATGATCACCATAAGTACAGTATAGCCATAAACATGAATAACATGAAGTCACTTATATAAACCATTTTATCTCAACAGTTACATTCCCAAAGCAACCTTGGCATCCGTGATCATAACTGCAGTGGTTCACCTCCTTGATTATGAAATTTTGCGCCCTCTGTGGAGAAGCAAGAAAGTTGACCTGCTGCCCCTCACTGTCACGTTCGTTGCCTGTCTTATTTGGGGACTGGAGTGGGGGATACTGCTGGGCATTGGTGTCAACCTCTCCATGCTGCTCTACTCCATGGCCACACCTGCCATGAGGGTTGCACTAGTGCCACCTGGTGTGAGTTCCACAGTCTTAATCATGTCACCCTGTCACTGGGTGTAATCGAGACCACAAACAAGACCATTTACATTTTAGCCTTTATGGATCACCTCGTTAAACTCTTCTAATGAGCACTTGGGGACTAATATTCTGGTTATCCGTAAAGGTCGAAATTTTGAAAGGTCTTGTTTGTGGTCTCGCTCCTGACCACTGTACATCACTGGGTCAGGTATAGAAACATAAGTAGACATCCACCTGCCATTTTTATATACCTTTTTCAAATTTGCCGATGGTTCCATGTGGTGTGAGTGTTGTATGATTGTATGATGTGACTGTGTGATGTGAATGTATGGTGTGAGTGTGTGATGTGGAGTATGTGGTGTAAGTGTGTTGTATGGCTGCATGGTGTGAGTGTATAGTGTGAAATAACTGGAGGGTATCGGGGGTGTGTGATATCACCCTCATTTATTTAATTTCTTAATGGGTGAATTGTTATGTTGAATAAAAGTAGGAACAGGTGGCTGATGCTCTACTGTTAGCTGAACCAAAGGGAAAGAATGGTGGTATAGTTTGATGATGTTAGTAGAAGAATGTATAAGGTTTATACTGGTAAAAACAAAATACATACTGTACTATAATGGTTTGTAAAGAGAGAGAAACAATGTTAATGTAATGGAACTGATAAGGAGTTCAAGTATTTAGGAGCAGTGTTCAAGAACAAGGTAAATGGAAAATCTGAAGTTGATAATAGAATAACGTAAGGAATAAGATCAAGTAGGACCCTGGAAGCATAAATGAATTATAAGATCTTACTGTACACTGCCAGAACATTTTATGAAAGGCTGTTTTTCGAACTCTCTCACATGGATGTGACACTCATTTATTTCAGAGTGGTGACAAATCAGGATTGAGAGTAGCAGAGAGGGATAGTCTGAGAAACATAGTGGAAGTTTAGAGAATTGATAGAAAAAGGAATGCAAGAAAAATGGTTGGGGTTGAGAGGGCTCTCAAGAATCTGTTGCATAAGAGTGTACAGTACTAAAATAAGAAATGTTTGGCCATATATAGGGTTCTGTGTGTGAAGAAGTATTTCCTTATAATAGTCTTGCATGACACCTTGTCAAGCTTGAAGTTGTGTCTTCTCTGTTGTTGGAGTATGACATGGCAAATGTTTGCCCTCCATCCCTTTTAAGGAATCGACTCTAAAAGATTTAGTGACGTCTAGAGGTTTTACTTTAAATAGTGCCCAAAGAATAACTGTATCTTGTGAACAGAGGAGTTGTTTCATTTGTGAAACAAGTGACATGACTCAATTTAGTATGGACAGTGAACTGGTATGATGCATTATGAACTAGAATGCAAGTTGAAGATATTAATAAGTCTACAGGAGTATTGGTACATAGTAAATAGAGTGTAGGGGTAATTAGGACAGCCTTTAATTATTACTTTCCATACATGTCGTGATCATTGTTCATACTACTGTATTTATATTTCAAGTTTGTGTACCCCGTGATCCAAGTAGAGATAATTTGATTTTCTATCAGTTTTATACAATACATTACTGTACTGTGTTGGAGTGTGGTATGTTAGTAGTTTACAGTAGATCATGAATAACAACTCGTATGCTAATAGCTGTCCTTTTACACAAGTGATGTTAGTCATTTACATGAACTACTGACTAATTACATTACATTTTCAGTTCCTTTATTATTACATATTATCCCTCTCCTGTAAAACCAGCCAAGAGTACAGTACAGTATATGTTTTTCTTACCTCCAGTTCTACTATTTTTACCTCTTATTCCGCTTGTTCAGAAGCATCATGGGGGGTATGTCCTGATTACCCCTTCCCATGGCATCACCTACCCCAGCACCACCCACATCCGGGCTGCCATCAGAAAAGCTGGGCTTCGACAGGCTGGAGGCTCCCTCCCTATTGTCATCGACTGTTCCTTCATTGATACCGCAGATTATACAGCAGCCAAGGTGAGTCACGGGAGTGTAATCTGTGTGTTGGCCAAGTTGTAGTTCATACTGGAGACAGTTAACCCATTTAACGAGATAGAGAAGGAAGTTATGATGGAATGTGTGTATTAGGAGCAATATTGCATAAAGCTGCCAAACCTAAGAGGAAGAGCTAGGAGTAGTGGAAGTAACTGGATTGGGAGACCACTTTGCATATGTATTCATTTAGTAGCTGAACTGTTAACATAGTGCAGTATTGGAGTAAATGAATGATATGTGTGAGAGGATTGTATAGAGACTACAAAAGTGGATTGGAATTGTATGTGCAAATAGCAGAAGAAATAGAAATGGGAGTTATGATATGTATTTTCCAAGAAGTGTCAGAAATTTATTATCTAAGTACTGTACAGTGATATTTTGAGAATTAATGAATTATTCCAAAGTCATTTGTGTTCTTTGTGATGCCTGCCGTGGTTGAAGACCAGAGTTGCTTATGTAAGGGAGTATTATCCTTGAATCCATCTGTGGCTGTACACTTTCTCCTTTTCATTGCTTCTTGTACTTGATGAATCTGAGTTCCTTCTACCTTGTGTTGTAGTGTATAGTGGTCACGGCACCTCACTTAAAATGCCTACTACTATTACATGGTTAATCAGACTTTCATTAAATGTAACAGGAAAGATGTTCTTTTATAACCACTGTACATGGTTAGTAGCAGTGGCAGATCCAGGGGGGTCCTGGGGTTCTGGGAAACCCCCCCCCCCTTTTCATCAGAAAACTTCAATACTTTTTCTTTACTGCACTATTGTACTCATGCATTTTTGTATAGTAAAAAGGAATTACTATTGACTTCAGAATATCTCTTAATATCAAGTGCACATGGCTTTTAAATGGCCTTAAAATGCCCATGATATTGGTCAGATTTCCCACAAAATTCTGGGGGGCTCACTGTGCTTGCCATGTTCCTCAACCCATAACGTCATCGACCCCCCCTTTTGATATTCCTGGATCTGCTTCTGAGTAGTGGATTGAGTTAATTTGATGGATCATATGATTGGTTGAAGAGTACAGTGCAGTATTTCCATTACTCAGCATTGGTCTAATTATATTGTCTTTTGCATAATCTATGTTATATGCATTTAACTTAAGACAGGCGACCCAGGCAGAACTTAATACAATACCTGTATAACAATATATTGTGTGCTTGAACCATCCATCACCAACAGGGGATCAAGGGGATGATAGATGATTTCCAGCTGCGTGGGCAAATTCTGGTTTTTGTCTGCCTGAAACCACGTGTCCTCAAGACCATTGGAGCATTACATGAAGGCATTGTTGTCTGTTCTTCATTTGATGCTTTGCCAGAGGCTTTGGCAGGTACAGTATGGGCTCACATATGTAACCCAGATCTTAGATGGATGAAAGATGTCTTATATTATACACTAGTGTGATGTGTGTTTTGTATGTTCATGTGTGTTTAAATTGATAGATACATCATACAAGTTTACAGTTGTTTTGGCATGTATATATACAATGCAGGTATAGTATACAATTCACCAATGCAGGTTTACAGTGTACAACTGTTCATAGATTGTGCAGTTATACAATTTCTGATGTAGCTAGACAGCATAGGTATACAAACAATGGTAAACAGAAAGGCAATTCAACGTAGGATAGTCAACAAAGCCATCAGTACATGTATTTATTTTCAATAGGATACATACACACAAGCACTTGGGATCACACGTGGACATGCACAGTGACAATTCAGAGTCTTTTTTTTCTATAAGTGCATGAATATTTGTACTAAACATTTAGAACTTTAACTTCATAGGACTGAGTAAACTTTTACATTCAAGATGGTATTTTATAGTTAGGATCTTGTGGAACAGATTACAACTTACCGTAAATAAAATAATATTTATTTAAGATCCTGCTTCATTGGTCATGTCATTTATATTTTTAACCCCTTGGCTATGTGTGGGGTCTCTCTGTGCTGAATAAAATTAATATTAAACTTTAAAAGTGAAGTCCAGTAGCAAGAAGGATTAACTTTGAACTGTTTGATACTATTACAGGTTTTAACATGGTTTGGCATATTGTTTCAGTTCTTTGTAGCTGTAGACAGGAAAGGGCATTTTGTTTGATTGTGGACTTATATTACTACAAAAAATGTGTTCACTAGAAACTTGATTCAGCCTCAACTGCTTCGCTTTACCTGCTACAGTTAACATGTCTAATTTTTACAGGAATTCATGACCAATCTGATTTCTTGGGTCTAATTTTACCATCTTGTTTTGAATAATTGTCGAATAATGTCAAAATATTTTGAACTCGGCTAATTCAGATTTTATGCTAATTCGAGTGACTCAGAGCCCCCCTTTTTATTGTTGAATTAACAATTGTATAGTGTATCTTGTATAGGACGAGGCTCTGCGAGTGTTAAGTTTAGCTGCTACCCTTGATTAAAACAGCATATGTGAGGCACTGAGTTGTCTTTATCCAAAACATACCGTAGTCTGTCTCTCACGGTCGTCTAACTCGTTCTGCCAACAAACTTGCCAACTAATGACATCCCTATGTGACACATATTGTCACATTCAAGTTTATGTTTTACATTAACAAACTCAGTTCTATTTCATAATAAATGAGTATTTATAATACAGTCTTCAACTTATGTATTACCAACTAATTCACCAGAATTAAGATCAAATTTTGAGTCTACAGTAGTTAACTTGTCTCAATCCGTTGAATGATGCACTGCCCATATGCGCTCATCAGACCAGTAATTAATAATAATTGTAGTCTATCACCATCTTTTATACATTGATACAAGAGAATGAAGGATTACATACAATATACTGTAAATAGTTGCCAAATATGAAAGAGCTTATTATGTCTCATGTTGTAGCTCCTGGGAAACATACCCTTATCCTCATAATCCTATCCTGTTACCGAAAGTATAAACCAGATACCTTACCTGTGAATCCCTGACTATTATGGCTTTCTTACCTTCAATGTTTATCTTATCCTCCTCACCATCTATTTCGACCACCAGAAGACAAAATGAGTTGGAACACTTAATTGTTTTTGTCTTCCTGACTAATCAGCCCTGTTGCACCACCCTTCATTGCATTCCACTGCTCAGCAGCATTGTCTATCCCAGACTCTCCCAGCCTCATCCTCAACCTGTCATCCTACTCCTTCTCCTGCACCAGCTCAGTCCTCAGAAAGGCACAGAGCTGTCAAAGCTAACACAAGATATGGCTATACCATTTAGATAATCCTGGGAGCTAACTTGAGACAACCTTAATTTAGTAAGGTCAATGGTCATATGATTAAGGCGAATACCCTTATGTTAACATAAAATGTTTATCTTACTTTAGTTAATATTGATTTCTGACTAAACTTACCATGACCTGTTTTAACAGCCACAAATTTTAAACTAATTAACATCTTTTTCATGTTTTTGTTAATGCTAACAACAGATGGAGAGACAGAGGTGGGACTTGAAACTGTCAGCAGTGATGGACGACACCAAGGAGGGGATATTGTGATATCTACCATGATCTCCACACCTACATCTGACACCAGTGATGCTGCCAACCCACTACTGAGTACGACGACTTTCCACGACCAAAAGTAGCAGAACTTTACAGCTGTCATTACCACAAATTCCAGATCTTTGTCCCTTACAGGTATAGCAAACTACATGTACCACACTGACAATGTGCCCTGTATTTAAGTTGGCATTATTGGCAGTCTCTGTATGCATACTCATTCTTGGCAAACCCACTTACATGTTTTGGGGACTTTAGTCCAATTCAAATGAAGTTCAACACGATGACATCACCAGAAACAGTGATTTTATATTTAGGGTGTTACGTGGGGTGAGTGAGTATCAGAGATATAAATTCTTCAGCATGTTGTGTACTGTATTGTCCTTTCAGCAAAATGTTGCGTAATGCACACACTCGGTGACAAGAGAAAGTGCACATTGCATTACTCATTTTCTCATGTTAATTACATTCCAACATATCAATCTTCAACACCTCATCTTAGAATTTTGGTTTGGGACAAAGCAGTCACCACAGTTAAGTCTGCTAAAAATCAAAGAAACTTTTACTTTCCAAGAATCCATTTCCATGCAATAAGACAAATAACAACTGGCGATGAATATCAAAATCATGATATCCCAAAACCTGAAGATACATAAGGTGGAGCATCATAAGTTTACCTGAGAATGAAACTTATCAGTATTGAATGAATTCTTTATTTAGTGTCTTTGTAAATCATGTTGAACTATGTGTGTGTTGCCTCTCCTTCGTTATGACGTGTGGGGCCTCATAATAAGCCAGTGTTCCAGAACTATGCAAAGGTATTTTGTCTATTACGTGGGAAGATAATTTTTGCTGTTATTTGTTAAACACAATGACCTTTTACCAACACAGATTAAGATGATAGAAATGTGGTTAAGTTATGTCAGTGCATGAATATCAACCAAGTGATGAACTCGGCATTTCCTTTGTAAATAGATTTTCCTATTAGGTGTCAAATTCGCTCTTTTTTATTAGGAATTAGTTAGAAGTGTTAGAGTAGTGAATCACATTGTATTTTTAATTTATTATAGATTATAGAATTCATCTTAGCTGTTCAGTGTGAAGATCAAGAACATATCCCCAAATTTAACTTTAATACCCTGTGGTCTGTGCAAAATTCAGCTTGCAAGGATATTTATGCACAAGCAAACTAAAACTGAAATATATAAACTTGTGAAACTATTATTAACACACACACACACAATCCATAAATGTGTAAATTTAGTCACACATACAAACTCATTGTTATTGTTGTTATAATTAAACAGTATGTGTAAATTTTAATTATATATATATACTGTGTATATATATATATATATATATATATATATATATATATATATATATATATATATATATATATATATATATATATATATATATATATATATATATATATATATATATATATATATATGTAAGGTGTGATACAAAAGTTCCTGGACTGGCTTCATAAAATTTATATTTTTTAAGATATTACAGTGAAACTTTGGTCACCCTCAAAATATTCTCCAGAGACTTCAGTGCAATACTGAATCCGCTCCTCCCACTTCTGGAAGCAGATCTGGAAGTCCTCGTTCATGAGGCTGGAGAGTACGGAGGGTGGGGGACCACTGGGATGCCGTGCTTCGCCAGAAAATCGTTCACAGAAAGAGCAGTGTGGGCAGATGCGTTGTCCTGGTGAAGCAGGCAATTGCTCGTCGTCAGTCAGAATCCAGTTAACATTTCTGTATGAGAGGTTCAATTGCTTGGTAATCTCATGGATGGTTACCCTATGATCCTCAGGGACAAGCTGGTCATTTTTCTGGACATTTCCATCATTTTGCTCAGTGGTGGGCTGGTCGGAACGATGCTCATTTTCAGAGGAGGCGCACCCTACTTTGAAGCGCTTTTGCCAACTGAAAACTTGAGCCCTGGACATTGCTTCATGTTTGTAGGCTTCCTTGATCATTTCATGTGTTTCTGCTCCATTTTTTCCTAGTTTGAAGCAAAGTCTGATGCCGCAACATTGCCTGATACTTCCCTCCATGTTGAGGGTTTAGTGGCAACTGCCTCGACTTACCAGATGGGCCAGTACACAGACTCACAAAGCTGCACTACGGCCGGTTGGTGCCACTGATTCGCGCCAAATCAATGGAGTAAACAACTTATACCCAAGGTGAGTAGCTGCTTATGATTATTTTTTATATCTGCAAAGAAAAAGGTTTAAAGGTTTATGAAGTCAGTCCAGGAACCTTTGGATCACACCTCGTGTGTGTATATATATATATACTGTATATATATATATATATATATATATATATATATATATATATATATATATATATATATATATATATATATATATATATATATATATATATATATATATATATATATATATATATCTCTTGATAAAATCACACGGGAAAAGGGAAACAACGGAGCACCTTAGCTTTCGTCTTTATTCAAGACATCTTCAGAGGCAACTGGATTACATGGACAGAGACAGGCTTAAATATACAGGGTGACCTTATTAAACATGAGGTCAGGTCATAATGATGTCATCCACTAATCCCCACACCAACACGAACACATACGTAGAGGAGCTTAAGAGAAGGGGGCGACGTGACTAGTCAGTTCAGGTAAAAAATAAGGGACCCACTAAATAACTATCCTACATCTAGATCAAAGGTTTTCAAAGCATTTTTAACCTTGGGCCACTGACAAATAAATTTATGTAAGATATCAGTTTTGAACTGACCATCTTAGATGTAGGATAGTTATTTAGTGGGTCCCTTATTTTTTACCTGACCTGACTAGTCACGTCGTTCCTTAAGCTCCTCTACGTATGTGTTCTATATATATATATATATATATATATATATATATATATATATATATATATATATATATATATATATATATATATATATATATATATATATATATAAAATGATAGCCTTAATGAATAATTTTACCTGCACATCTTAACATTGCATATATCAACATAATAGGTAAGGTGCCAAAATACTTGTAAATAAGAGTACAGTGTAGTACAGTACTGTAATTCACTTTGTTACATTGTGATGGAGCCTTTGGACCAGGCTATATTGTGTACCAGAGTAGACAGGATCTGTGGTGAAGTACATGTACAGTATAAGGGTGTTGGGATTGGTGAAGCATAGCAGTGTTTGGGCCATTCATCAAAATAAGTACTGGATGTGTGGGGGTGCCCAATAAACTAGCCTCTGTACTTACATGAGGTCAAATCTGAATCTAGCTTTTTGGGGTTGAAGATGGATCTGCTAGACCAGATAACACACAGTAGACTTAAGGTTTTGACACACAGGGAGATAACATGGCTGGCGCGGCTGTCTGCTGCCTTTAACATCACCATTTTGTAGTTGAGATGACTGTGGGGGCATGAACTGTGGGCCTTTGGATCAGATAGTGAGTTTTATATCCACCCTCCATGTTGGGGTTAATGATATACTTTATATTTTTTTTATCATATTCACCACTTGTCAGCTTACTAGCCGTTTGGGCGGTCTACCCAGTGTTAGTACAGGAGGAAACCTGGGACCGGGAAACCTGTGGTGTTTGGTAGTGAGAGTCACACTGTATAACACACTTCTTATGTGTGTCTGGGCCGAGGCTCAAACCCGTCACATATTGGTGAGAGTTATGTGCGTTACTGCTGTACCACCAATTGTGTTAGGTTTAGTAACAGTGTTGGGATACTGAAATGTAATTATGTTGGGCCAGTGATATATCTTTGCAATGGAGTTATTGAGATATATTAACTATGTTGGGGTTAGTGAAATATATTAACTATGTTGAGGTTATTAAAATATATTAACTATGTTGGGGGTTATTGAGATATATTAACTACCGTATGTTGGGGATATTGAAATATATAATTAACAATGTTGGGGTTATTGAAATATATAATTAACTATGTTGGGGCCAGTGGTATATATTTGAATGTATTGAGGCCATGGAAAGATGATTGTGTTGGGGCCAATTCATCATACTTTCGTTGGGACCAGTGGAGTACAGTATATTTATGTATGTAAGAGTCAGTTGCATTTAGTTATGGGGCCAATTCATCATACCCTGTACTTAAGTTAGGAGCAGTTAAGTACTGTATTGTTATGTTAGAGTCAGTCACATTATGTTAAGGTCAGTTATGTGAAGTTATGTTATGGCCAATTAGATATACAGGTAATGAGGTGAGGTGAGGGAGGGGAATTTAACATTGGAGCCAGTTGAATATAGATAGTGTACAGTGCATTGGAGTTTTATTGGTATTTAAATCATTGTATTTGTATCTGTGGATGTTATATGCCAAAGGAGGGTAGGGTGAAGGTGACATTAGTATAGGAAGATGTTAAAAATCTAAGTCACCTTGTTGAAATCTTCTTGAGAGGTGAAATTACCCTGAAACAGCTAAATCATTTACAGGTTAATTCTAATATTGTGAGTTGAATGGTTACAGTTCCCCTCTTGATATAGTATTTTTGAATGGGTTAATTTAAGAACTAGTTATACTTGATTTAATTTTGCTACATAAAGTAATTAAGAGAGGAACATATTTAATACAGTTTTGTTTTCTAGTAGAGTCTTGAATGTTGTTTTGAGTTGCCTACACCTCCTAGATGGATTTTACTATATGCAGTATGTAGATCTTAAGCGTCCCTCCTTGCTACAATATTTATTACATTATTTTTTTCTATTATTGAAGGAAAAATAGTGCGAGAAATATGTAATTTTTCTGGTACGAGTAGGAGACAATACAGTAATGGTGGTAGGGTCATTAATTTTAAAGTGGTTGTATATTAGTGACCCAGGATGCCAAATTTTTGTACAAACTTGCAGTAAAACTCAGTTGCAAGGTTATATTAACTGCTAAAATTGCTGTTACCTGACCAAACTATGATCCCAGAGCACTTCTTGGATTGTGTTACCAATATTAAACACAATCTAAGTGTACAAATTGTAAGTATTTAAGGTGATGGATGTTTCTTGTTCTTATAAATCCATCCCATTGGACATACAGTAATTACTCAGGCTTACACATAAAAATACTTGGATGTATCAGGTTGAATATACAGAAAAGATCTTTAGTTCCTTTTGGTCATTCATGCATAATATATTGACACAAAACATAATAAGATAAAAAATTATGAATTGTCATATAGTTGCCATCTAGTACTGTGTGAGGAATGTTAGTGATGGACAGCATTATACTGCATCTGTGTGTTCTAAGTTGCTATTTATATGATTGCACACACCAGCAATGCATTCATTACTTAAAAAACTTGGTGTTTCTTGTGCAGCATATTTTATTATTGCAGTATTGCTGTAAAAGGTTAGACTGGTAGCTGGTAAGAGGAAAAAGGGGAGGGTGAAATTCCCCATATGGATTGTTCCTTTACAAACACAATCTGTTCTGAAATTTTTTTCTTTAAATATAATTTTTGCAATTCCCATGAAATTATGATCATAACTATAACCTTCTGCAAATGCATTACATGAAGCTGGTCCATCCAGTCATCATGTACTGTATATAAACCTGAGCATACCCTCACCCCCCATCTGGGCCTTAACTTTATTCCTTCAAGGCTCATCTGTATTGACATGAAGTGTTGTGTAATACATATACAGTAAGTCCTTGCTTAACGTCGTGGTTCCGTTCCTGAAAACCGCAATGTTAACGGAAACAATTTCCCCATAAGAAATAGATCAAATATGGGAGTTACGTTCCCCAGCCTCCCTTTGCCCCATAAAATGCACTATATAAACATAAATTCAATGGAATTTTTATTGAAAATAGTATATATTATACATCCAAAAAGATAATTAGACTAAATCATTTTGTATTGTACTCAGTGATGGGCAGAGGTGGAGAGAGTTCGTGGTGGGTAGCGGAGAGGAGGAGGGTGGAGAGTCACTGAGACCTGGAGGGTGGCTCCTCCTCCTGCTCTGACTGGGTGATGCGCCGCATAAAGTAGTCCATGGCGACGTTATACCAAATCGGTGGGACGTTGTCTGAATCATGGGTATCTGAAAAGTAGCAAAGTAATAACGAAACAACGTTGTCGGGGGCTACGTTAAACGAGGACTTACTGTATTAATATGTCAGCTTTGAGCCTTTTAATAATGTGATGCAATTGATAATGCCACATGTTTGTATTTGCCAAAAGTCAAATACAGGATATGATATATCCCTGAATGCCATCATCAGTGCAAAATGGCTAGATGTTAAACTGCACAGTCCTGTACCAAGTACTGATACTGTTT